TTTTTTTTTGTGTGTATGTGTCTATCGTTGTTACTGTTCTCTTCCGGTACGGTCATTCTCTCATACAAAGAGCACAAACTAACAAATACGTATGAGGGACATTTGTTTATATTACGACCTGTGTGTCTTTACGTTGAAGAAAATATGCAACTTGTTTTATATTAAAAGTAAAAAAACCAGAATCTTTTTTTCATTAAAAATAGATAAGAAAAAATATGTCCTTTATTTTAGGATAATAATAGAATAAGAAGAAAAAAAAAAGAGAAAAGGTATTGATCATTTGTGAATAATTTTATTTGAAAGAAAAGAATAAATCAATCATAACTATATAATAGAACTGTCTGATCACGTCAAAAAATTATATTGACTTCAATGAATAATTACTGAGTTAATAAAATGACCAATCAAATGAACTATTGTTTTAATTAAGTGATTGTTATTAATGAAAATTTTAAAAATACGAAATCTAGAATTGATCGATAATAATTTTCTTTTCATAAAATAAATTAAAAGAAAATAAATCCTTATGGAGGTCGCTCGACTACGGATATGTTTTTTTCTCGTAATATATAATGTTTTTTTGTGTTAAGTTATTACCGTTAAGTATAACAGCGAAAAACTATTAGTTAGGAAATGTCGTCTGTTATATGTCAACTAACTATGATGACAATTTGGTAGAATGACATAAAAGGTTGCCTGGTAAAATCGAAAATATTTTCTATAGATTAATGTTACATTATGCATTATTGTCTATAAATGATCTTTTCCTGATGAATCTTATCATACAGTATTGTTTTTATACGTAGGCATCTTTGTAGTAGTTGTTTTCTTTTCATATGCTTATCTTAGCGTATCTTTTCTATCTTTATTTATCTCTATTTTTCAAACGGCAGACTATAAAACAAAAAGAAAAACGAGAAATGAAAACAAAGGTATCATATTTATTGATCTTCGATATTGATATATTTGTTTATTTTATCGTATTTCATCTATAAATATCATGTATCATTACAAATGATTGCTTTGAAAAGATCTGAATTCTTAAACTAGATATCTGATACATATAGATAATCAAGAGATTGTCTTAAATACTTACAAAATAATCTTAGTGATAGATGACGTGCTGAGTTCTTCGTATTTTTCATAAATTGTGTTGACAACTATTTTAATCTATTATTCTAATTACAACGATTATCAGTTACTCAATTTAATACTTGATAAATAACAAATATAAATTCTTTTTGTTTAAACTTGAATTAAACTTTAAAACTATTGTCTACAACGAAATTCATCGAGATTAAATTTCAGTAGGTGAACAATTCAGTTCTACTCTTTATATATGATTTAACGTATCACAAAAAATAATTCAAGTTTTCTTTCACAATAACAATATTTTACATTGTCTATGTAATGTATGAATATCTATGGTAAAGATTCACGCATTTATTCTAGGTCTCAGCCTGGTTCGTTAATAATATGACAAAACCTTATCTTTTTTCTTGTGATTTTTCCTTGTAAACTTGGATAAAAAAAGCAACATAGTTATCTATTGCGACGTTTGTTATCTTTTTTCCAACTTTGAAATATTATAAATAAATATATGAGTGTATAGAAATGCATTGTAATTACAGCGAAGAGATAAGATTGTGACTGAAATGTTGGAAAAAGTGAGAGTTTAATATTAACTTCATCTTGTATACTATAGATTACTGCTATTACAAGTACATAAATATGATGCACCAAAACCATAATTCCAGTGCAAGTATTGCATGGTTGAATCTAACGACTAACGAGACGAATTCAGATATAAATAATACAATTAATCAACTTCAGCATGTTGCTGGTTCATTCAAAATTTTTAATGATGCAAACGAGTGTATTGATTTTATAACCAATGTGACAGATCAGGAAGTGTCTTTGATTATATGTAATTCGCGGAGTGAAACATTCATTTCAATAATTGAAGATATTCCTCAACTTCATTCAATCTATATTTTTGATTATCAACAACCACAAGGCCAGGTGTGGTCACATAGATATAAAAAATTGCGAGGGGTGTTTACCCAGCCTGATTCTATTATCGACGCACTGAAACAAAATATTTCTAATCAATTGAATGATTTAGCACCATTTAGTATCGTTTCTAACACATCATCTTCCAATCTTGATGAACTAGATCAGTCATTCATGTATACACAATTACTTAAAGAAACTATTCTCGATATCAAACATGATGACAATGCGAAAAAAGCATTTACAGATTTCTGCCTCACTCGTCTTGTTGAAAATGATCTACGATTAGAGCCCTTACAACAATTTGAGAAAAATTATGATAATCATTCACCCATATGGTGGTATACGAAAGAAGCATTTGTCTATTCCATACTCAACAAAGCACTTCGAACTCAAGATACAGAAATGATGATCAAAATGGCTTTTTTTCTTCGAGATCTTCATGCAGAAATCAAGTATAAGCATTCACAAACATCTCATACGACAAACCTTACTGTTTATCGTGGACAAGGAATCAACACCATTGATGCCGAAAAACTAAAAAATAACAAAGGTGGTCTTTTCTCATTTAATAGCTTCTTGTCTACAAGCACTGACCAACAAGTATCATTGATGTTCGCCGACAGTGCTCGTGAAAATCGTGATTTAATTGGTATTCTATTTCGAATGACTATTGATCCATCGATATCTTCCACACCATATGTATCAGTCAGCGACATAACTCAATTTAATGACGAAGAAGAAATATTGTTTTCCATGCATACTATTTTTCGAATAGGTGAAATGACTGAGATAGATGATCGCTTATGGGAAGTTAATCTGACATTAACTAGTGATACTGATCCACAATTGAAATGTCTAACTGATTACATCAGACACGAAATGATGTCAGTACCTGGATGGTTTCGTATGGGTCTCCTCATGCAGAAGATGGGTGAATTCGAGAAAGCACTCGACATTTTTACTATGTTACTGCAAACAAAACTTGATGATGACTTTGATACCGATGAGTTGCTACGAGCTACGATTAATATACGTATTGGTCTTATGCATGAATTTACAGGGATTCATGCAAATGCATTAGACCACTTTGATAAATTACTTAAACTTCTTCAGGCCGTTCTTCCATCTGATAATCCAATTTTTGGCGTACTTTTTGGTGGTATCGCTAAAGTATACCTGTCAACGGGTATTTTTATCATGTCTTTATCCTATCTTGAGAAAGCTCTTCAAATCATGGACACGTCTCTTCCACCTACTCATCCATACTTGGCTTTCAATTACAACAGTGCTGCTGCAGTACATCAATCAATGGGTAATTATAGGATAGCATTGTCCTATGCTGAGAAAGTACTTGAAATCATGGAAAAATCTCTTCCACCTACTCATCCAGACTTAGCTTTGACTTACAACAATACTGGCGCGACACATCTATCAATAGGCAATTATAAGATGGCGTTGTCATATATTGAGAAAGCACTTGAAATCTGGAGAATATCTCTTCCACCTAATCATCCAAATTTAGCTCCAGGTCATAACAATATTGGTATGATATATCAATTATTGGGTAATTATGTCATGGCATTGTCATATTTGGAGAAAGCAGTTGACATCTGGAAGATATCTCTTCCACCGAATCACCCAAGCTTAGCTACAGGTTACAATAATATTGCTAGCGTACATCAGTCAATGGGTAATTATGACATGGCACTATTATATTTTGAGAAAGCACTTGAAATCCAGAAGAAATCTTTACCAGCTGAACATCCAGACTTAGCTATGAATTACAGTATTATTGCTGAAGTACGTCAATTAATGGATAATTATTCATGAAGTCACAAATCTAAAATTGTTACCTTTCTTAAGACGACTGTGGCAAAGTTATTTAAACTATAAACTCATGACAGTTTTTAAAAGTATAAAAGGCTTTTTAAGTGAAAGTTTTCAAAATTCGTAGAAATTGATACATGTAAAAAATATGAATAATGCGAATGTAGGTGTGGGATGGGCGTGACGAGTATCGTGTTCATATCATCTACACTGGCTCCACATGTACATCCTGTTTTATTAAATAATAGAAAGGATTTCATAATTACTATATCGTATTACTCGGATGCTACTATCATCTTTGCTTGAATTATATAACGCTTTCCTGTTTTGGTGATGTTTCACTAATTTCTAGTATTGAAAATATTATGCGAACATATATTTTTAAAAATGTTTTGTTCATATTTCTACGATTCGACATTTTACGTTTCAATGTTTTGATAACTCGATAAAAATCAAGTTGAACAACTTGAACGAATATTGTGATGTAGATGATAATCAAGGTGTGTATGACTATAAACCTAATTGACGATCTTTCGATGCATTTGAACTATTATATGTGCTCAGTGTACTGAATTCTTTTGTCAGATCTAAATCCTTCGTGTACATAACAGGCTCGGGCGTTTGATTTATATGATATTTTTAGATATTTGTTAAGGATCTATTCCCACAATTTCTAGAAAATGATCAATTTCATCTTTGAGCATTGATATTATTATTATTGACCAGCATAATATTACAAACTAAAAGACAATAACATTTTAGAAATACACACATTTCACAACAAAAATAACAATAGTTGAGTTGTGCCTATACTCAATTAATTGCTTAGAAACCTGCTTTTGCAACATAAATAACATGGATAAGTCTGTTTAAGAATACCTGTGTGTCATCTGTTGGATATAACTGATCATTAATGTAGAATTAGAGATCACACTGATAATTCGAAGTCTTGAGATTTGGTCTGTTAATAAGTGTTAATATTTTACATATAGTATAAATAAGAAGAAGATAAATAAAAGAAAACACTACTCATTGTTGGATTATTAAATAAATATTAAATAATAAATGAATATGATAAGATTATAAAAAACACTATCGATAAAAGTAAATTCTATTTTTAATATTGATATCGTTATATTATAATATTTAAAAAGATAGCGCCATCTGTTAGTCATTCATGAGTGGCTTTATCGAAAACATGAACGAATCGATTGGCATCAATCAAAGAAAGAAAGAATCAAAACAAACAGACATTCATCTATCATCATCGTCCTTATTGTAGTATTTTACATAAAACATATAATAACCTTGAATACAATAGCTAATCACTCTCTCTTAAAATCTTATATAACAAACTATGAATGTCTAATCTGTTTAATTTAGATATTTTTAAAAGTATTCACTAAATATGTCGGATCAAGAGAAAGTAATTCTAACTTTAGTTGAACTTCTTAAAAAAAATTCGCTACACATAACATATCCAGATACTATTGAAAACAATGTAAGCTACTTATTCTTTTTTCTATTAATCAATTTATTAATACAATTATTTAGAATAATGATGATCATGAAGATGATGAATGTATAAAAAAATTAACTAAAAATCGTTATAAATTAATTTACAGTATGTGTCAAGCTACAAAAGTAATGGATTATCTTGAGTCTGTCGGTGTTATACCCCGTTCTGTTTGTTCACGTATTCTTCATGTAAGTCAATGTTATATAATAAAATATTTGTTACTCTATTTTGAAAATATTATAGCAATATCCAGTACCGGAAGATCGTAAACGTGAATTAATTAATTTCTTACTTAGTCGTGGTAAAAATGCGTTCAGACCTTTGATCGAAGCACTTTATCTAGCTGGTAAGTTCTCATCAATCAAGCCAGTAAGAACAGATCATCGACTATTGAAATAAGAGGATTTTGTTGCATATTAGTTAATCTAATAAATATCAACATTATTATTCTAGGTAATCAGCATCTTGTTCAATTACTTGATGAAAACTTTCTCTTGAGTAATATTCGCCAACGACTTGATGCTGAATATCATTTTCCAACTGTTATCGGAGGACAATCAACAATACCAACAAGTATCGAAGATGAACAATTACATAATATGAATACGAATATTGAATCATTCGATAATAAAATTTCCATTGATGATTTAAATAATATCGAAATAACAAAATTTGAAGATGAAGTACCAATGGGGTTTGAAGTGCAATTGTTAACAGCTGATTTAATTGAACAATATCCTCAATTAGATCCAACAAAACGATTAGATAAAGTATATGATCATAAAAAATCTTTTTTGTTTGTTTGTAGAAAGAATATTATTTAGTGTTATCGAATGTTGAGTAAACCTCGTGGTTATTGTTTATTAATTAATAATGTTGATGCTTTTAAAACTATGGAAATTCGACAAGGATCAGATGTTGATGCAAGTAAATTGAAAAGTTTATTCGAACAAATTGGTTTTATTGTTTTACTTCGACGTAATCTTATTTATACAGTATGTTGAAATCTATCTTTTTATTTTTCTTCTCATCTTTAATTAATTATTTGAAAAAATTTTAGGAAATGATTACTGTTATAGAAAATTTTGCTAATTTAATTGAAGAAAAAAAAGATTCATGTGATTGTGCTATTATAATTATTTTAAGTCATGGTGGAAATGGAACAATTTATGCTGTTGATGAACTTGCATTAAATGTAAATTATAGTAGATTTGAAAATTCTCTGTCATTTATTGAAATTTTTTCTAGGTTGATGAACATATTATATCTGTATTTGATGATCATTTAATAGGAAAACCAAAATTATTTATTATACAAGCTTGTCGTGGATGTAAATAAGAATTTCTATTTATTAATAAATGCTTTTTTTTTCATTATTTTAGCACAATGTAATAATCGTTCAATCGCATCAATGTCTAATACTCGATGGTCATCAGATAGTATAACAAATGAAAATTCTCGAACAAATGTTGATAGTGGTGGTTATAAAACAACAATGGTACCTATACGCAGTGATATGGCAATTTGGTATTCAACTGTCAAAGGTTTTTGATTGATAGATTTATATAATAACAACAAAATTATATTTAGATTATGTTTCATGGCGTTCACCTGACGATGGTAGTATATTTATTCAAACATTAATTACAGTCTTTGCTCGAACAGCATGGTATTATGATTTAGCAAGAATGGTTACTTGTGTAAGAAAATTGTTTAATTCATATTTCGAGTAATCATGTAGAGCAGTTAATAAGTTTTCGATAAATAGAATTCGGAATATTGCCGTAGGGGGGTACGGCATTTTTTAAAAACGGTTAAACCACCGAATCATAATTGCTACTAGTATTTCTATACCTTTCTACTAGAGCCTGTCGGATCCACAATTTTCTGGACCCGGACCCAACCGTAAATTTTTCTACTTGAAATTTGATAGTTGCTTCGAAAATAGTTTTGTTGTAGTTTTTCTAAATAAATTCAAACCTTTTGAATGAAATGTTTAAAAAAATATTATGCTGATAACGTATATCTTCCGATCCGGACCCGACGAGCTCTATTTTTTGCACAGTTAGTTATATCTTAAAGAATAAAAATGAAATTTTTAATTATAGGTTAATCGAACAATGGATGAAAAATTTCGAGCTCATGAATCCACACCATTTCAAACACCATGTTTCGAATGTCATCTTCGTAATGTAAGTTTGAAAAAACTGAAATATTTTTTTTCCGAAATATTAAATTTTCTAGGATTTGTACTTCAATCCAGGTTGTTGCAATGAAAACAGATGAAAATAGTATATATTTATCTTTTGTCTTAAAAATATATAATTCTTTTTTTTTGTATAAGAAAATTCATGTAAATAAATTACAGAATAATGATGTCTACTTTTAATTCACAAGAGAAAAATAAAATCCTTTAAGTAGATCTAAATAAGGTTCATT